CACACACACACACACACACACAGCACACACAGCACACACAGCACACACACATTAATCTACGGCCTCATTGTATCATGAAGGAATGACAAATCATAAATCACTCACCGTTTCCTGTCTGGATCTGAAAATAGAGTAAAACCCTCACCTCCATCTTTCTGTCTCTTCCTCTTTTTTTTTTATCATCCATCTTAAGTCGTGCAGCCTCAGACAGAACTTTTGTTTTTCACTGTGAATAACGTTCTGTTTCGAAAAGGTTTGAGTTTGTGTGAAGGATCAGTGTGTTTATGAAGCCTTTGTTTTTTAATTATCACTGAAGCTGTGTTTTCCTGTTGAAGGAAGCTGCAGACGACAACTCCTACTGTTAGAAACATAATGAACTTCACGTGTGCAGCACTTTGCAAAATGAATTCACTGGAAGTTTGAAACACGATAAAACAATTTAAAGACAAATAACATATTCATTGGAATATAATTATAAAAAATAAGAACATGCTTGAAATGAGACTGTGTGCTAAAATTAATTAAAGGCTTTCGTTCGAATGCTCATGTATCCCGTGTTGTCCTGCTCACTGAAGGCGTGACATGAAATCACAGGCGTGACCCTCTGAGGCTGGATGTTCCATCGCAGCACGTCTGGGATTCGAACCCCGAGAACTCTCTTTTAAACATGTGTGTCCATGTCTCCATCAGGCCACGCTGACCCTTCAGGTTTCCTACATCCCTCCTCCAGGATCGCTCCCCCTCTTCCAGCCTCCCTCGCAGCCTGAGCCTCTTCCCCACAACAACCCCACTGTGGAGCTGGACACGGTCACAAGTGAAATAACATTCAAATTTAACTGAATATGAACATTTCCACCTGAAAACATTAAACCAGTGAATCTGTGACGTCGGGTTTGTCGGGTTCCTCCTCGGGGACTAGTTTCTAACGGACAGTGTCTCTGCAGTGATTTCCCTGGACACGCTGGGTGAGGAGGACACGGAGAGTTTGATGATGCTGGAGCCCACAGAGGACCAGGGGCCTGATGACGGGCGGTCCATGGTCGTCGTGGGCCCTCAGGGGCCCCCGGGCAAGGAGTCTCCCACCACCAACCACATGCCCAAGCGTTCGCCGCCGTCCTACAACGCGCAGGGAGGTCTGAGGAAGAAGAGGAGGGGAGCCAGCAGTCAGCACAAGCCTCTGCCCAACAAACCTCAGGACCTGCAGGTGGGTTCACCACCTCGTGACGCAGTGACAGACGACTTGTGACGTGTTGCATCATCGTTTCTGTTCGTGCGTCTCCGTGTCCAGGTTCGTGTGCGGGTCATCGAGGGGCGACAGTTGCCGGGCATCAACATCAAGCCTGTTGTCAAGGTAACAGTGGCCGGGCAGACAAAGAGGACCCGCATCAGAAAAGGAAACAGCCCTGTGTTTGATGAGGTGAACGAACCAGCAAACATCGAATCGTTTTTTAAAAGTCATCAGCGTGGATGTTACCACTCTGACGTGTTTTTCTCTCGACAGACGTTCTTCCTGAACTTCTTTGAGACGCCGTCAGACTTGTTTGATGAACCCATCTTCATCACCGTGAGTCTGAACTTTTCATTTCATTCCAGTGATTGTCGTTTACATTTCACGATACCTTCATTATCAAATGAAATAGATAAATGGAATATGAACTCTCTCTTCCTGCAGGTGTGCGACTCTCGCTCTCTCCGAACTGATGCTGTGATCGGTGAATTCAAGGTAAACTGTCGCCGTCGCTGTGTTTTTAGTAACTTGTAAATATGACGACTGACAAAAACAGAAACTCTAAAATAATTCTGATTCTTCACAGTTGGATGTCGGCACCGTCTACAATGAGCACAGTGAGTATTTCTTTATTGTACAAGTATATATGTACAGTGAGTCTTCGGGGATTTGTGCTGTTGTGTTTTTGCGATAAGCTAAGTTCATATTTAGTTTTTGGGACAAGTTTGTACTTTTCGTGTTTGGTTCCATCACGTTACAGGTTAGCTTGTAGATCGATCTCACGTTAAATCTTTGAATCTTTAGGACATTGCTTCCTGAGGAAATGGTTGCTGCTGTGCGACCCTGACGACCTCACTGCGGGGGTCAAAGGTTACCTGAAGGTCAGCCTGCTCGTCCTGGCCGCTGGAGACGAGCCACCGGTGAGTGTCCAAAATTATAATCCTGTCTCCCAAAATAATGAATTCTTTCTTTCATTCTTCTTCTTATTATTATGTTCGTACGTGTTTCTGTTTGTGTCCCAGGCTGATAAACGTGAGTGTGTGGAGGACAAAGAGGACATCGAAGGAAACCTGCTGAGGCCGGCCGGTCTGTCCCTGAGAGGAGCCGCCTTCACCCTGAGGATCTTCAGAGCCGAAGATCTGCCGCAGAGTGAGACGACAGGTCTTTGTGTGTTTATGACTCGAGCTCCGAAGTAGAGATTCACCGTTTGTCTTCCGTTCACAGTGGACGATGCCTTCATGGACGGGGTGAAGCACATTCTTGGGTTTGACAGCAACAGGAAGAACTTGGTGGACCCTCTGGTTGAGATCCACTTTGCCGGCAAAACAGTGCGTGTGACACGAAGCAGCTTCGCTCCGACGACATCGTTTTCTTCAAACGTGTTTCGGATTGAGTTTCTCTTTGTTTTGTTTTCAGATCTGCACGAAGATTCTGGAGAAGAACGCCAACCCACAGTGGAACCAGAGTCTGGCCATGCCCATTAGAGTGAGACACACACACAACATCGGCCGTGCGTAAAGATGGACGACATGACGGCCACTCAAAAAAAATAAAGCTTCTATCGCCTCCTGGTGGTTGGCTGCAGTTTGTTATAAACCTTGCCTCCTCCATGTTGGTGGACGGCTCAAGGACTGAACCAAAAAAATAAGAGTACACGCCATTTGATAATTTTGAAACTTTTAATTAGTTATTCGATGTGGAGTGGAAGTGGAGACGCGTCGTCCATCTGTATTTACCGTCTGCGGAGCGAACGCTTCTGAGATCCGATGTTCTTCATGCAGTGAAGGTTTTGTTTTTTCTTCCCCAGTTTCCCTCCATGTGCGAGAAGATGAGGATCAGGATTCTGGACTGGTGAATCCTAACATTCTTTAAAATCTTGGTTTTATAAAATCCAGCAGAATGTTAGGATCAATTACTTATGATTTAATATAAAACATTTTATTTCAGCCTTTAACAGAAGGTTTTTTTCGAATTTGTCTTTTCTCCAGGGACAGAGCCAGTCACAACGATGTCATCGGCACCACCCACCTCTGTATGTCTAAGATCTCCGCCCCCGGAGGAGAGATAGATGGTGAGTTACTGGTCTGAGCTGGTTTGAACTGGTGTGGACAGAGTGGTTTGGAGTAGGATGCAGTGGGGGTGCATGTGTAACCCGTTTGGTTTGATTTGAGTCTTTTGCTACCAAACTCGTTTTGGGTTCTTTCTTTCTTCCTTCTCGCATCACATCTGTAGCCGGGATGCAGATCATCACCAACATCACAGTGTTGGCTGTTGTGTTAACTCTCACCTGCTGCATTCACACTCAGGTGCACAGAAGACAACACGGAGCGACTTCTCTTTGTGATCTGGGAGATGAATCCATTTTAATTGGTTTAATCATCTTAACAAACTAAGACACACGGTAGAAAACACAACCTCCTTGGTGGAGCTAAGAAACGTTTTTCTGGTGGAAAATCTTGATTTGGTCATTTGTCTCATATTTGAAACGAGGAGCATGACTTTGCGGTGAGTTTGTGGTGTTTGTTTGCCAAGAGCATCGGTTTGGGTTTACGTGGCCTTCAAAGACATCTGTTTCCTTTCTGTCTGACTTTGAACCGTCCTTCCTCTCTATGCATCCAGATGACTTGACTCCGCGGACCGTCCACCCTGGCAGTACGTCCTCTCTACAAATCTCTTATTTTGTGTCAGTCAGTTCTTCTTCCAACTCCGGTTTCAATCAAAGCTAAATTCTGCTGAAATCTCTCAGTGTCTGATCGTGTGTCTTTGGACGAATCAAATAATCCTGTTTGGTTAAATTTTTTCTTCAGTCTCACGTTCCACCGTGTCGATCGTAAAACACCGTCTCCACTTTGTGTCCTTGCAGTCGACGACAGTCTTGGTTTCCTGCCGACATTCGGTCCGTGTTTCGTGAACCTGTACGGCAGCCCCAGAGAGTTCACCGCCTTCAACGACCCGCACGAGAATCTGAACCTCGGAAAAGTAACTTCACCTTTAATTTTCTTTTTCTCTTTTTTATCTGAATACAACATTTATCTAGATATGTTTATATTCTTTGTTTCTAATGTATTCCAGTATGTTTGTGTGTGTTATTTACTTCATCTTGACCAGGACTCCCTGACAGAACAGATATTGTATCTGGTTAAATAGATGAAGAATGAATAAACGTCCTCTCTTCTTCAGGGGGAGGGTGTAGCGTACCGAGGACGAGTTCTAGTTGAACTAACCACGAAGCTGGTGGACAAACCGGAGCAGAGAACTGAAGACATCCCGTCAGACGACCTGCTGGTGGTGGAGGTGAGAGAGCGACAGAGGATGTCAACGTGTCAACATGTCCGACCATCCGCCCATTGTTTTCTTAATCCTCTCCTCCGTCTCACAGAAGTTTCTCCGGAAGAGGAAGTACTCGCTCTTTGTGGCGTTTTACTCGGCCACGCTCCTCCAGGACGTCGACGATGCCATCCAGTTCGAGGTCAGCATCGGTAACTACGGCAACAAGTTCGACTACACCTGCCTCCCTCTGGCCTCCACCACCCAGTTCAGCAGGGCGGTGTTCGATGGTACATACGTGGGTTCAAGTCAGAGGGGAAAGGTCATGTGGAATATACAGTGAAATCATTCCTGTGTGTGTGTGTGTGTGTGTGTGTGTGTGTGTGTGTGTGTGTGTGTGTGTGTGTATTCCAGGTTGTCACTACTACTACCTCCCGTGGGGAAACGTGAAGCCGGTGGTGGTGGTGTCTTCCGAGTGGGAGGACATCAAACCGAGGATCGAGGCTCTCAACATGTTACTGACCATCATTGAACGACTGGTGAATATTTAAATGTGTTCTGTTCACATGTATGACTTTTAGACCACGGACTGAACACGTGTGTGTATGTGTGTGTGTGTGTGTGCGTCTCTAGGAGGCCAACCTGCAGCAGGTGCAGCTGGAAGTGAACACAGGAAGTGAACTGGAGGATCTGGAGCTGCGAGTGGTCGAGCTGCTGGATCAGGTCATCACAGACTGCAGGTGAACGCTGTGTAATCTATCGTACTACGTACCTGTACTCACGGGTTTCAGGTACTTGTACTTCAACCGAAGTTGTGTTCCTGCAGTGTGGAGCTGCCCTCTCTCGCCCAGTGGCAGTGTGCGACTCCGCTGGACCGATCCCTGAGGCACATTCGCACTCTGCACCTGGAGCAGATCGTCGCGGCCGCGCTCGCCCTCAAACACGGGCCGGCCACGGAGCTGTCCACGGTGCTGGAGCAGGCCGAGGACTGGGCCAACAGGCTGCGCACCATGGCCGAGGAGGTGAGCGGCTTCGGAACATACGACACTGAGAGGAAAAATAAAACAAGGAGACTCACCCTCTCTCTCTCTTTCTCTGTGAATGTCTCTCGTCCAGCCTCAAAACAGCCTCCCGGACATCGTGATTTGGATGCTGCAGGGCGACCGCAGGGTGGCTTATCACCGCATCCCGGCACACACTGTCATCTTCTCCCAGGAGCATTGTGGGAAACACTGCGGACAGCTGCAGACTGTCTTCCTCAAGGTACACACACACACAAACACACAACAAATAAAACACACACAAGAGTATAAAGTCTTACTGACTCGTTTGTGTACTTGCGTCGTACAGTACCCGCAGGGCAGCGGTGCAGAGGCCAAACTTCCCGGTCAGCTGAGAGTCAAACTCTGGTTTGGTTTGGCTGCGGACGTCAAACATTTCAACCAGTACGCTGAAGGGAAACTGTCGGTCTTCACTGAAACGGTGAGAAAATACAAACCGAAGCTGAAAGGATAGAATCAGTATTTACAGACTTTTATTTAAAGGAGACATATCCCTCCTCTCGCTCCGTAGTATGAGAACCAGACTCGGCTCGCCCTGGTGGGCAGCTGGGGAACAACAGGTCTGACCTACCCCAAGTTCAGTGACGTCACAGGAAGAGTGAAGCTGCCGAAAGAGAGTTTCAAACCGTCGCCCGGCTGGACCTGGGCCGGAGACTGGTTCATCAGCCCTGAGAAGACGTGAGTCAGCTCCTGTGTGTGTGTGAATTTCGTGATTGTTCATCTTCTGTAAATACTAAGTGTCTGTGTTTGTGTCGATGAACCCTCAGTCTGCTGTTCGACGTGGACGCCGGTCACATGACCTTCACAGAGGAAGTGTTTGAAAACCAGATGAGGTTACCAGGCGGGCAGTGGATCGGCATGCCGGAGGGATACACCGACGTGGTACGTGTGCGTGTGTGTGTGTGTCTCTGTGTCTCTGCTCTCGTCACAGCTTCACTCGTCGCAGTAAAATCTGAACGCTGACTTTCTTTTTGTCAGAACGGAGAGAAGGCGGTGCCAAAGGATGAGGTGGAGTGTCCGCCGGGTTGGGCGTGGGAGGAGGTGGAGTGGAGTGAAGATCTCAACAGAGCTGTAGATGATCAAGGTGAAGCGGAAGACACACGAGAAAACACACACATTCAACAACAAGAGCCAAACTGCACACTGATAAGTAACACTGTGTGTGTGTGTGTGTCCGTCCAGGCTGGGAGTACGGTATCCCCATCCCCCCTGACCGCCGTCCTAAGTCGTGGGTGCCGGCAGAGAAGATGTACCACACCAACCGACGGAGGCGGTGGATGCGGATGAGACGGCGAGACCAACAGAAGATGGACGCTCTCAGAAAGGTAAAGACATTAGACCGGGACGGCCAAACTGAAATGAGACGTCTGGTCTACGGAGGAGTTTCTTCTTCGGTCCCAGGCTGGAATCAAACTGGTGATTCTGATTCTGACACATCAGAGGCTCAACTAAGTTATGTTGAAGTTACCTCAACTCACCACTAGATGGTAATGTAGTTACACAAATGAGGAAGAGACAAACTTAAACATTTCCCTTTCACACCTGAATAAATTCAGATTTGTCTGATATTATTTTTTAGTTTATAAAGAACTTCATTAAATTGAACTGAGTGTGTGATCAGTGCCTGAACATCTGTTTAAACATCTGGCACAGATGTAGACTTGAGTAAACGTAGTTTTTGTTCGTGTGCGTGCGTTCACAGCAGCGTCCGGACGAGGCGGAGCGGGAAGGCTGGGAGTACGCGTCGCTGTTCGGCTGGAAGTTCCACCTGAAGCCGAGGAAGACGGACAGCTTCAGGCGCCGCAGGTGGAGGTGTCGCATGGAGCCTCTGGAGAAGACGGGCCCGGCCGCCATCTTTGCTCTGGAGTGTTCTCTGGTGAGGAGGAGGAGGAGGAGGAGGCCGCTCCATCATCGTCTCTAACAGGCTCATTATGATGCACCACGTGGACACATGAACAATCCAAGACATTAGAAGAGTCTCAGAACAAAAGCACACAATAGAGTGTGTTCTTTTATTTTGAAGGCTCCTGCAGAAAGAAGGTATCGCTCTGTTATTTTTTTATTCAATGTTATTTCTTTCTCTTTCCTCCTCCTGCTCCTCTTCCTCTTTTCTTTTCTCCTGCTCCTCTTCCTCTCACAGAGCAGCATAGAGGACAAGAGCGAAGACAAGTCGGTCACGACCACGTTCGGAGTCAACAGACCCACCATTTCCTGTTTCTTTGACAGTGAGATGATAAACACACTTATCTCCCAGCCCCCTTCCTCACCCCTCAACTTTTTATATAATGTGTGTGTGTGTGTGTGTGTGTGTGTGTGTGTGTGTGTGTGTGTGTGTGTGTGTGTGTGTGTGTGTGTGTGTTTAGGTGGCAGCCGCTATCACCTGCGTTGTTACCTGTACCAGGCCAGAGACCTGCGGGCCATGGACAAAGACAGTTTCTCAGGTACATGCAAATCTGAGGAGGTCATAGAAACTGTGTGTGTGTGTGTGTGTGTGTGTGTGTGTGTGTGTGTGTGTGTGTGTGT